CAAACTTTGTAAACCTGTAATAAATCTGCATGAAAAATTCAAGTTTTTGCTTGTGGTAAAGAGATTTGTATTTGTTAAAAGAGACTGTGTGAATCAAAACTGAACCTGTGACCAGTGATGAGGCTACACAAAGACACAGGGAAAGAAGAAATGGCTTTGTGGATGTCTGTGTACAGTTACAATGCAGAAAACTGTAAAACTCAGCGCTCAACATTCCCAGTGTGTGACACAGACAAGTACAAATCTTGACTCATGTAATGTCAGTGGCACACACTGTGGAAACTTTTGAGTGCAGAGTTTTACACAGTCTTCTGTTCTATATTAGTACACAACGTTTACAAAACTATGTCTTTTTTTTTTTTGTCTTTGTGTAACTTCAACACTGATCCTTTCTTCATAGTTTTGATTCACATGGTCTTTTTTAACAAATACAAATCTCTTTGACACAAACATTTTTTTCACAAGTAGAAACTTGAATTTCTCACATAGATTTATTTTACAGGTTTACAAAGATTGATTTACAACTACAAACATTGGAATTATTTGTGGACATCACTTTACAAGTTCAAAATCATTATGACCCTAATTTGACCCCATATACATATGGGGTGCAGTCATGCGCATGACTTACCATTTCTTGCTGGTTCTGTTGTGGTGTGGCACTGGCCTGACATGGATTCTGGTATCCCTGTGAAAACATAATTATACTAAATAAATAAACTTTCCGTTGTAGGGAAAACTAGGTCATTTTAGGCAGCCATTCACAATACAGTATTGAGCATTTTTTCCACAATATTTGTAACTAAAATTCATTACACTTACCATTATTAACTCAGTCAGGTGCAAGTTTTGCAGGAAGCTCTTATCAGTTTCAAAGGATGCAGCCGCACAGCTCCAAATGCAGGTACCATTAACAGGAATCCTGGAAAGATTTTTAAAAAGTTGGACTGTCATTGTCGAATCAGATTTACATGTAAAGACATGGTCAAAATTTGTACTTGTAACTACAGTGTCAAACACTGTGTGGGAACTTAGCGCTGAGTTTTACATGCAGTTTTCTCCTCTGTATTTGTACACAAATTAACAAAAGTACTTAATCTTTCACAGTGTCTTTGTGAAACCTCACCACTGATATATTTTTCAGATTTTTAATCACACCATATTTTAACACAAACATAAATCTCTTTACCACAAGCACACTTGTTTCTCATGCAGATTTATTTTACAGGTTTACAAAGGTTGATTTTAACCAACTTCAGAATTATCAGTGACCATCACTTAACAAGCACAAAATCATTAGGACCCTGACTTGAGCCTATATGGGAATGAGGTGTAGTCATGTGCATGAATTACCATTTCTTGCTTCTTCCTGGCCTGAGGTGGATTCTGGGATTCCTAGGAAAACATGTAATTATATTAAATAAAATTACTTTCCATAGCAGGGCAAACAAGGACATTTTAAGCAGCTCTTCACAATACAATATTTTAAAACATTGGAGCAGGTCAGGGGAGTTTTTATTTCTTAAAAATGAATAAAGCATTTTTCCAAAATCACTTTCCATTTCCATGTTCTTTGCCCACGTTACACATTACTCACACTCAGGTTAAAACAAAAACATTGAGCCTAACTCGACTGATATTAACACATCTGATGCATAGAAAACATTTGATTGCTTTTAAGTAATTACTATAAATTTATGCTCAGAATATAAAATACAATCATGTACAAGAAGGCACTTAGGCCAAAACTGAATACTTGACTTACATATATATTGGTACTAAGCACTTGCACTTACATGCATACTACCATGCATATACATACATAAAGTTATGCATGTAAATACAATACGTCTGAGACCCATGGCAAACTGTTGACCAACATGTTGTTTACAAACAGTTTTAACATAAAGAATGGAAGTGTGATTTAAATGAAACTATTGTAAGATGATGCAGGCTGTTGTTAACACTGCTTACCTTGTACAGTGAGAGAAGAAAACATTAAAACAAGATGGCGTCCCGCATGGAACGCACCTCAAAACTACGGTATCCCACAGCGGTCAAACAACACCAAAACCGGGATTCACCTGGGAATAAACATCGCAACTGCGACACCCAGTGGCTTATTTAGGCTACGTCCCTACACATGAATAACTGTATGTATACATGTATGGGCAAGTGCTTAGTACCAGTATATTTGTATGTGCAAGTGAAGTATTCAGTTTTGGCCGAGCAGCTTCTCATAGAATTGACTAAAACTGAGAGACACACATTGATATTGTGGCTAATAGCAAACTGAGAAATTCATTTATTGAGCACAGAATAGTTTTTAGTTTGCTCAGGTTCCAGTATTATTTGCTCAAAAACATTTTTTCTTCAAAATATAATTTGTGTTTGCAAAATGAATTTGTCTGTGCACAAAAATTCCCATTCAGGAATGAGGCACAAAAATAACTCCATATTTTTAAAGTAATTACTATAAATGTATGCTAAGAATATAAACTACAATCATGGTTTCCCTTTTACTGATAATCAGTTTGTGATGCAAACGTTTGTGTTTGCCTATTTAACATTCAGGCCTGTAAATTTCGCACTGCTCACATGAAGCGTCAAGAAATGAACATTTTCTCGAACCACTTTGCTGAGAAAGTAAATTCAAAGCCTCCGACTCTGTCGGACTTACCTCCGGTACCGGGCAGTTGATTTCTTTGTGCAGACAGCATATAAAGCCTGGTGGGAGTTTCAGACTGTTTAGACCGGGGACTGTTCTCAGCGCCAGGCATGGGCCAACTGCGACCTTCCTGCTTTTTGTCTTCCGTATTTAAAGCAAAGTTGGCGCCTATCGGCCAAAATGCCCAGATGTGCGCAGACCATTAAAGCAGACGGATGTGCGCAACTCTGGTTTTCCTATCCACGCCCCGTTTCCCGTTCGTCCGATTTCCAAAACCGTCACAGGTACGAAAGGTTTCTGCGTTTGTTTGTTCCCCAGTTTACTTTTCTTCTGCTGTTATTCAGATTATTCTGACAAAGACTCGGTCGGGTCTGGGCCCAGAGATCCGGCTGAGCTGCGGTCCGCCTGGTTGTCCGAGTCCAACAATCCACAACCAGGCCTGAACGTCCCGTGCCGGACGGCCATTAGGCCTACTGCAGGATTGAATCAGATTACATGACATGCTGTGTTATTAAAACACATTTACACAACACAAGTACTCACATTCTCATGGACACACAATAAACCAGCATGAAGTCCACAAGCAGCAGCAACAACATTAATAAACTGCGGTGGTAAGTGAAGTTAAACTGCAAGTAAAAGACCAACAGCAGCTGTGCACGAAGTTCAAGTTACTAATGAGTAATAAAGACATACAGTTCATTAATTTGAAAGCAATTTTGACTAAATGAAAGGCTTAAATGTTGCATGTGTTACTCCTGGGCCCAAGGACAGTTAAATCTGAATTATCTGTCCTAAAACTACAAATCAGAGAGAATCCATAGATTAGCACAAGGGGCACTGACTTTGTGAAGAATCAACACGTGATTTCCAGTAAAATATTGATTAAATGTCAGAAGTGACAAATGAAAATGTGGAATGCAGGAATTGCATTACTCTTTTTATTTAAGTCAGGCTGCTGAAGTTATACAGCTGACATGACTTTGAGCCACTAAATTCCTTCAAATAACCCCATAATCTACAGTAGCTGTGTCCTAACATGTCTCATCCAGATTTTGAATTTGATATAAAGCTTAAAATTTGAAAAACTCATTTTAGTGTAAGAAATTACACAAATATCTTATGGCCTCACAGCATCAGAGCCCCATTCACTGTTCTAGAGCAAACTGGGATGACATTGCACATTTTATGGTTCTCCCTTTGGTTTCTTACTTTAGAGGACAGTGCAGCATGTTCACAGATATTGTTCTAGGGCAAAGGAATAACAAATGTGAATTCTTAAAAAGGGTTGGATAAAGGAGAATCCATGTTAGTGATAGTGTTCCATCCTCAAAGCATCTGGAAAAATAACTGGCTAAAATCATAAATATTAAAAAGTCATTATAGAAGCCTATTGGGGCCTATCAAGATAATCATGTAAACTTGAAAATGAAAATGTAATTCCATGATAGCAATGTAATTTTTCAGGTGTTGTAGGATTACACTGGACTTGATTTGATGAATATGAGCAGAGCAGCAATAGCAGTCAGCAGGACATTTCCAGGGATAGATAAGTGGAGCTGAGAGAATGAAAGAAGAAGAAAAGAGAAGGGAATGTGAACAGGCTGATCAGGAGCAGATCAAATAAAATACTGTCTGATAATATTACAGTACATGTCCATGTTTATCCTATGATGCCATTCTTTAAAGAAATGTAATATCAGAGTAAATGTTCTTCTGTAATATTCAGTTAAGAGTCGTGAAGACATTTACTTGGCCTTGTTGTGGATCCATGTCTGTTCAGTTAGAGCAGCACATATTATGGTCCGTTTTATTTATTTCTTTTAGCTCTCCTTAAATTGACCACTTCAGCCAACACGCTTCAAAACATTTACTTTGAAGGCGAGCTATCTGTTTCCGGCTCTCTACTTCCTTGTTGAATTCTCATTACAAGTTGGATAATCGATCAAGCTGACGTTTACCCGCGATGAATTTCATTGCACATCTTTATTCAGCTGAAAATGTTGCACGTTTGTTTGTGCTGTTCACTTTGATAATATAAATGTATTATTCTGTTGTATATCGGTAACATCTCTTCACCAACCCCGGGAAGCCAACCGGAAGTTCAAGCTATCAGAGTTGTTTTCCCCATGAAAGCTAATTTTTTTTTTTTTTTAAATTAGTGAAATATACATTTTAAATTCAAATTGTATTATATTTCCCTTCAATAAAACTCAGTGGGTTAGTTTTTTTGTAAATAATTTCAGTACTTTCATGCGTCCACGTAGGCTTTATTTTGAAAATCGTAACCGGAACAAATTTTGTAACGTTAGCCGCCTTGACACAACTAGTACTAGTCCAATGCAGTGATGTCGGCGTTGCTGTGCCTCGTAGCGGGAGCAGTTTGCTTTTATTTGATAGTGTACTACGGTGTGTTTAGAGGAGTGGGATGCTCGAGTCCAGTGAAGCTAAAGGGGAAGACGGCCATTGTTACAGGTAAATGAGACTCACCTGTCGGCTTCTGCCGGCATGTAGCTTTCATGGTGCTGCTCATGTAAACAGTAGGAGCGTCGCTGTTTTCTCAAGCACTTGCCCAAATGTTATTCTGTCACAAAGCTGTTCTGAATCAGCTTTCAAACTAATCCACCGACAAAAATATAAAAATTTAACCTTAGACCAAACAAACACAGCTGGCCGGCAAAGTCGACGTTACAGTTGGTGTAATGGCCGCTAGGTGTCTTAAAAGTTTGGCTAAGAAACCTGAATAGATTTATTGTATGATTACACTGGATTTGACCTAAAGCATACGAGCATGCAGGAGAACCCCAGACCAAGGAGAACAGCACAATAAACATGATTTGATTAAATACAGTGAAATAAACTAGTCACTCATAAAAGGTGAAATGACAACCAGCTCAACTGTAGAGCAAACAGCATGAGCTCAGGACAAAGAACACTCAACACACCTGTGTCAGATTCCCAATTCTATTAGCACACCTGTACCACACCTCAAAATTCAAAACAAAAACAAGGGAGACCACACAAATAATTCAGGCTTTAAAAGCAAATGAGATTTAATTGAACTAATAATAAGCAAAACACAAACTTAAGGTGGGATATGTATATCAGTTATTAGATCAGTGGTGTGGTGAGTGTGTGGAAGAGTAAAACAGATAATCAAGTGAGGAAAATAAAGCTAACCCAAACCTGAGTCCTGCTTGCTGGAGGAGAGAGGAAGAACTGATTTCTCCAGCCCTTTATATAACATTCAGGAGAATTGAGTTCAGGTGTGCCTCTACTCCCCTGACACACCTCCCACAAGCAGTGAGTGGGAGGGGTTGTCACACGATACATAATAATAAATATATATGAATGTGACACTCTCTCTAGTTCGTATATTCCTCATTACCCATGAAGTAAAGTTTTCATCCTTAAGATCCAAGACTATTAATTTTAGTCTCTTCATTATACGGATCCAGCTCAATAGTGGGCAATTTAAGCCTGTTTCTAATATAACTATGCTCATTTGTTTCATAATTTATTTGTCATCGAGTGGAAAAATCGCTGTGGGAGAGTGTTACCTACATTTATTCTATTACTTGGGTCTTGTATTTTATTGTATCATATTGTATTGTATTTTTATTTTTTGTATAGCTTTAATCCTTTGTGCATTTGTTGTCAGGTAAAGCAACGTTATTATTATTGACAGGTTTTTGGAGGACAATTAGATGTCACTGAGTGTCACTGCATTAGTGCCTTTTTTTTTCCCCGCTGCACAGGAAGCAACACTGGCATCGGCAAGGCCACAGCTCTGGATCTGGCAAAGAGAGGAGCCAGGGTGATCCTGGCCTGCCGCAACAAGGAGAAAGCTGAGGCTGCTGCTTTTGACATCCGCAGAGTAAGTAAGCTGCGAAGAAGACACCGTGTCAACTGCCCATCAAGGTCACTGAGTCCGCTTCACATGTCGGTAGATTAACTGATCTCATATATTGTAACTATACAGCATGGTGCAGATACACCCATAGATTTGATATCAGCCTCATTTTACATTTACATTTTTTCATCAGGTAATTTCTGCTAGATATGTGTATAACAGCCAGACTTACCCAGAATCCTTTTGGGTTTTTTTTTTCAGGAGAGCGGGAACAATCAGGTGGTGTTCATGCAGTTGGATCTGGCGAGTCTAAAGTCCGTGCGCAGTTTTGCTGAAACCTTCCTGAAGACCGAGCCCAGACTGGACCTCCTCATCAACAACGCAGGTGAAGATGTTGAAATATGATGGAATATTCCTTTACGTGGTCCATATTTTATTATTTTTTATTTCTTACATAAAAAACTAAACAAAAAAGGTGTAGTTAAAGGAAACAAAATCAGTTATATTTGACTTCACTACCACAGCTCAAGCACAGTGAGTGATTGAAGCAGCTGTGTAAAGATGCCTACAGACAATCATCAGTCTTACTAGTTTATTCTAGGCCACACTGTGCGACAAGGATCTAATAAACTTAGCTACTACATCCAGTTTGATGTGTATCGCCGGTGTGATGATTAACACCTGAATCGTAGCTGCAATGCAAGTCAATCTGCATGAAACGTCATCAGCATGCGTCGTCCATCTGCGCCGTTGCGGTGGTAAACAATGAATCTAGGCAGGAATCGAGCCCATGCAATAGCGGTATTTGTGCGTATGGAAATAAATCCAAAGAAGAAGAGAAGGAGAATGTGGACCTGGTCATGGCGAGGGGAAACTTGGGATGCCAATTTTGCAAAGAGAGCTTGAGGTAAGTGTTTTTTAACATACATAAACGTACGTTGTTCCAGGCAAGACCGTGACAACAGCCATCTTTGTATCTCTCTCACAGTGCGACGTAGGATGACTGTTGGAGCCACGAGCAGTCGTCTTTCATCTGGGACAGCCCTAAGTCGCACAGTGTATACATACTATATAATACACACTGTATGTTTCAGGTGTGATGGGTCCAGGGTGCACTGAGGACGGCTTCGGCGCAGCGTTCGGGGTGAACCACCTGGGTCACTTCCTGCTCACCAACCTCCTCCTGGAGCGGCTGCAGCAGTGCGGTCCCAGCCGCGTGGTCACCGTGGCCGCGCTGCTGCACCGCTTCGGAAACATCGACTTCCCTCTGCTGGCTTCCGAGAAAGACTTAGTGTCGGGTCAGTCCACCTGGCACGACTTCCAAGCCTACTGCAGCAGCAAGCTGTGTAATGTGCTCTTCACCAGGGAGCTGGCCAACAGGCTGGAGGGCACCAGTGTCACCTGCTACAGCCTGCACCCAGGTCAGTGGACACCTCACATTTCAGAATTAGGATTTTTAAAGGCTTGAAAAATAATTATCACTCGCCTCTGCTGTTTGACAGTTTCCAGTCTGTTGCACCTCTGACCACACACCATAACACACTTCAACTGTTGTTTCTTAAAGGGCCCGTATAGTATGAAGGTGACAGACAACCTGTAGGCCGAGCCGTGTTTTACAGTAAAAACATGGAGCCTTTCACCCAAGCTTCACATCTCTGCTCTTCCCAGGAGTCATCTACACAGAACTATGTCGCGGTCTGAGCCTGTGGCTGCAGCTCCTCATGATGCCCTTTGCCAAGCTGTTCTTCATGGACCCAGAGGGGGGGTCCCAGACCACCCTGCACTGCGCCCTGCAGGAGGGCATTGAGCCTCTCAGCGGACGCTACTTCTCTAACTGCGCGCTGCAGCAAGTGGGAGCCAAAGGACGAGACGACGCCCTGGCGAAGAAGCTGTGGGAGGTGAGTGAGAGGTTAACCAGGTTGTCATGACAGACTGAAACCTGATCCAGGAGCTGCAAAGACTGGATCAACGCTCAACTGTTGGTTCCTTTAAAGCGCTGGTTTCTTATGGTCATATACATGAATAATGTAAGTACACAGCCTTACACTGGTGCCTCCTGTTTATCAAATGACAGTTTGAGATGTCATGGCTGCATGTGGTTGAACCACATTAATGATCTCTATCGGGGCCCCTTCCTCAGACTTGATTACTGACAAGCTTCAAATGCACAGGTGTGGTTTATATAATAATCTACAGCAAGTACAGATGTTGATCCAAGTGGGGATAATGCAAAAGATCAGACGTGTTGACTGAGTCGTTGTGTGATTAAGCTCTAGTGCTTCTTCTGGGACATTCGTATCATATTGACATTGATGTATTTGTCAGTAGTTTTTCACTGTGAGTGGCCAAACAAGCTGACGTGTCGAAGAAGAAAACTGCTCTGGGTAAATGTGACATTCATTCCTGTGCTCTAAGTCGATGGTGCCGGCAGCTTGGGGACACACTTGCTCTGTAAGGTGCTAAACAATATGTTTGCACAGTTAATTCGAGTACTATCCACAACTGTCTGCAAACCACACCACATCGCTTGTGCAATAGTTTAAAGTAAAAAACTAGAACACAGCTAATATGATATCTGACGCTCCAGTTCATCTGAAGTTTCTATAGTTTTGAAATGATGAAATGTCTGTGGGATTTTTGCCACAATGAGAGACGTCTGATGGAAAATGTTTAGCTCTTATTAACTGTAAATCTGTGCTGATTAAACCTGTATTAATACCTGTAGGGGTCTTCATAAAATTACATTTGGTACATTGTCTACTTGTATATTAAAACAAAATGGACATTTTCTCTAGTTCTCTGGTTTTCTGTGGTTGTAGATGCTCTTCATACTCTGCTGTTGGGCAGTGTTAATGGGTCTGTTGTGTTTCACCTGTGCTCATAAAGTTAGTTCATTGATGAGCCAGTACAAAGTGACAACAGAGGACAAATAACGGATTCACAATCTGCTTCACAGCTTCATAATTCTGTCTATAACTTGTTTTACCCCAAAAGGAGGAGGAGGAGGGCTGTGACACTCCTCAACCATGACGGCTATCATTCACAAATTTCAGCTTTTCAAAATACATCACTCAAAAAGGACAGTGTAACCTAATCAGAATGACTCGTAACTGCAGCAGATACAATTTTGAATAAAACCAAAGACACCGTGCAGAGGTAAGGATGCTGAATGCACTTATTAATTGTTTAGCAACACAAGAAAACATGTTTTCTGTAAGGAAGGATTAGAAGTGACATGTTGATGTGCTGGACATTAAATAGGACTGGCGCGAGGTCAGGATGAGATGGAGGTATTACTGTTTACTCCCAGTGAGGAAGTGTGTTTAAACTTCCTTCAGTCCGACACGGTTGAAATTAAAACACACTTTGCGTTCTTCAAGTCTTTGTCAGTCAACTTGTTCCTTTTACCACTTTCACCACCTTTCACGTTTTCTTCTAAGCCCCGTGCAGCGATGAGGAGGCGGGTGGTGTTTTTTTATTATTGCTGCTTTCATTGCCCAACAAAATTAATAAACGCTAAATAAAAAAAAAATTACATTTCTTACACAGTAATAAAAGGACGGTAATTTCTTCCTGGAAGTCGAGTTAGAGATGCCGTACAGACGTGACACGAAAAGAAAAGATTTGGAACAACATAACAAAAGAGAAAGGCCATATACGAAGCTCTGCTTAGGAGCCAAAACATTCCCAGCATTCTTGAGATGTTTGCAGTTGTTTTGTTAATTTCCACTACACTGTGCTTGAAAAGAAAAAAACAGCAAACAAGTATAGCATAAATATTGTTGCAGATAAAAAAAAAAAAAGTGCAATAAAATAGTGTAAATACCTTTTTTGGCTCAGCTGCACCCTGGGTATGAAAGACTTTTTTTTTTTTTTTTATCATAACATTTAAGTTATCAAAAAAGTCACATAACTTCTACTTCTATCATTTGTCATTTTTATCTCATCAGTTCAGGAATATGCCAATAAAGCCAGAGTTGAAAAATGTATTTGATGCTTTATATGCTAAAGAAATAAAATGGAAAAGGCAGTAAACTAACCTGGAATCGACACATTCATTATGCCCTCTGGTGTATTATGACATTTTCTGTTGCAGTGAGATTGTTGTGTATAATATAATGTGTAGAGACATACTTTTGGAGTTACTAACAATTCATGTGATAGCAACAGATTTCATACAGAGTCTAATGCTGTTTAATTAAATTATATATAAACTTTCAGGACATTAATGTTCAGGATATAAGGAAGAGGAGACATTAAAAAAGAAACAGTCTCTGGAAATACTAAAAAATCAAAAATAAACCTCCTGTAAATATATTCAGTTTGTTCATAATGCAGTTTATTTCGTCACTAATCTGTGTTTATAGTTTACTAACTTATATTTTTGTTCTAAGTGGTATTTTTTGGACATAAGCCTGCTCTTATCATTTAATTTCATCTACATTTCCCTCCTAATAAGACAAAAACCATTTCAATCCATTTGAAACTGTCAACACCCAGTTTATCCACAAGGTGGCAGTAGCGTAGCACGGCTCCAACGGGGTGTCATCATGCTGTTCCTTGGCTGTTGTTGCTTGGAGCAAGGTTGTTGAGGACCTTAACCCAGCAGACCTATGGATTCTGTTCATTATGAGCACTGATTATTAACACAGGTAGGCATGAAAGCCAGGTCAGTTGAGTGTGTTAAGAGAGGTGCTCTTGTAATTACTCAGTAGGACATTCTTCTGCGCAGGCTTCTCCTTTAACCTCAGTGTTGGTGGGGAGAAACACACTTCCACAATCGATTCCTATCTCCTCCTGGCTTCAACTATCCCTCTGTCCCCTGCCGTGGCCCCCCCCCCCCTGCTTTCTCTGCTGCATGTTGAAAGGACCTGTGGTAAACTTGAATCCTCCTTGAGTCGCAGCTTTAATGACAACCTTTTCTGTATCACTGCGCCGCGCCACCCTTGTTCAAGCAAACGCTGGAGTAAACAGTTACACCCAAAGAGGTCACTAAGTTCAGTATCAACCCAAACAAGAATACAAAGTTTAAGCCAAGACGTTCCAATGAATCAAGATCTGTGGACGACCCAAAAAACGGACAGTGACAGAGAGAAGACATCGTTTCTGGAAATAGATGTTGCCGTTAAGTTTTTTTAATTGTAATTTTTAAATGCTGCAGAAATGTCAAAGACATCTCAAAACCTCAGCAAATGAAACAAAACATCTCTGCATGGGTAGAAATTTTTCTTAAAGTAAGAAAAAGAAAAATATGCTTTTTCATCATTCAGGTGGACGAACCTTCTACTGGACTATTAAAGTTTTTACAACTGTACACCTTGAACTTTGAAAAGTCTTAATCATGGAAGGTTTTCTTCTTGTCTTGGTCTAGCAGCAGCTGTTTGAACATTGCGTGGCAGGGCAGGATGGTGTTTGTGGCTCAGCAGGGTAGAAAAGGATCGGACTCGTAGGGTCGGTGGTATGAAAAACCTGGTCCTCCTCTCCACGCGTCGTCTTCGTTCCCCTGTGGGAATGAGCTCCATCCATTGTTGTCTGTCTTTGGTAACACGTTTAGCCCTCCCCCAAACTTAAGGTCATTGTGGCTACCTAATCCATCACAGTCCTGTTCTTGCTGGTTTTCTTGTTTCTGTGGGATGTGATTTGCTTCCATTCAAAGTACATGACCCAACCATGCCCAAGGTTTTCTTTCTGAGTTTCTACCCGTTTTCTTCTCTGTCTGTCTGTCTGTCTGTCTGTCTGTCTGTCTGTCTGTCTGTCTGTCTGCCTGTCTGTCTGTCTGTTGTGGTAGTTAATGGAGAAGATGGCTTGGTCGAGTTTAAGTCTTCAAGCTGAATGCCTCTGGGTTTATCTGCTGTGGTCTGGGACATGATCCAATCAATGGGGAGTAGGAAGAAGATTGAAGGGAGGATGCCACCTTGTCTCGCTCCAGACTGAATGGGGAAATACTCGGAAAGGGTTTTGCCCAACCCTACATTCAAAGTGTTGATACAAGGCTCGGATTATGGGTCTGAACTTTGGAAGACTTCCCAAGCTTGTGCATGATTTTGTTACGGAAACTACAAAGCGATCTGTCCGTACATATTTATATTCATGGAACTTTTCTCATTATTATTTTACGCCGTGAGTCCTGCTGGAGGAAAAGTTGTACAAGCTAAAGAACTTTGTCTCTATTTTCTCTATGATTTGTACAAGATGACATGATGATTTTTTTTTCAAGGAAACTTGCCAGAAAATTATTAAGAAAAAAAGAAAAAAAATTTTTTTACGCCAACATGGAGATCCAAATGCTGTTTCAAAGTCATTTCCAAGTTACCAGGAATAAAATTCAGGGGAAGAAAAAATACAAAATCCTTCAATAATCAGTCAAATTTAATACACTGATCCCTAAAGATACTGGAGTCAGTCTTTAAAAACACATACGAGTAGATTGTTGTTGCTAAAACCCCCAAATACCCAGAAAAACTACTGAAGTCGTGACCTCAGTGCGGGGTGAGGGGTTGTCAGCAAACTAAATGTGTACCTTGCAGCTGCACTTGTTAAAATAATAAAACAGAAAAAGTAGCAGCTACAATAAAAATGTGTTTCAGCTTCATCTCATGAAGGATCATTAGATGAGAAAGCTGAGTTTGTTTCAGGCCAAAGGTCTGCGGCTCAGGAGACTGCACTTCCCCTCCTTGATCTATAGTTCATAGATGTTCTGTCAGTCCCGCTCCACTCTCTTGTTTGAGAAGCAGCTTGTTGATGACTCGTGTGGTGTGTTTGCTTTGGGCAGACTTCACAGCGCTGCAGTACTTAGTGACTGGATTAGTGCATCAATTAGCAGCTATTGGATGCATAGAGCCATGCTGATTGATTTAGATGCTGTGGGAGCCATGTGCATGTTGTTTGCATGGGGACAACATCAACACATCTGAGTCAGAGAAAGACTGATAGTTTGCTCTTTCTGTTTCACTTAATCGCTGTTCATAATAAATTTTTTGGAATGCTTGTTGTCAGTGGAAGCGGAAAACCTTTTAGTATTTAAGTCGACAGTGAAAAAATAAGCCTACTTGACATAGTTAACCTTCCTTGTAGTCATGGAATAAATGCAATAAAGTTATAAGAAGTAAAATATGAGTATGACAGAGGAAGACATGTACATAAGGCATATCTGTCAGCCATATAAACTCACTTAAGCACTGCATGACCAACTTTAGCTTTAAGCAGTGCGGGTGATAACGGACTTCTCCGGGGGATTTACCGTAGCTTCGTGCGCTCGCTGCTGAAACTGTACAGACCTACAAACCCTCCTGTACAGACTCTCTGCCCCCAACACCTGCTGTACATGCTGAACTGCAGCCCGCACGCCACAGAATACCAAAGAGAGCACCTTGGGGGGGGGGGCTTGCAAGATTGGTTCACGTACCAGAGTCTGACTACGCGCTTGTTCGCCTGCTAGCCTGTGGATGCTATTCCTGCTAGCCTGTGGACTTTGGGGAAATGCTGCTGCAGTTCAGGTTGATGGTAACACGTCTGTCAGTCCCTGTTACAGTTACAGTGCGTTGCATTTTCATTTTGCATATTATTTGTCTCCAGGTTATTTCTCATATCTGCTACCGCCATGCTGAAACATACATACAAGTTGGTAGATCTTCTTGTGTTTATGGTATGTGAAATATGCTTTGTCGCACTTCTGTGCTGAAAAACTGGACACAAAACCCAGCTCCTTTAACAGATCCATCAGATTTATACTCTGATATAAAATACAAAATAAGCAGTTGGGCGTTTCTTTAA